GAGGGAGGTGACTCACCCGAGGTGGACGCTGCGGATGTGCTTCTGGATCCCGGCTGCGGTGCTCAGCACCTTCCCGCAGTTCTTCCAGAGGCACTTGAACATCACCTTCATGGAGTTCTGGAGAGGAGAGGACGGAGAGTGAAGTGAAAACAAACCTACCAATGCTGCTGGCCCAACACGCTTCTTCCTTCCTCTTTACCCGAAGCTCATCACGACCTCACAGCACAGTGGACAGATGGACGCAAGGAGGCTCTCTGCCTCTGTTTCACACGAGGAAGCTGTGCAAATCTACCTCCACCTGCTGCCCCCGAGGTTGACCTCGTGTGTCAGTGGCCCTGCCCGTGGTCTCAGGCTGGGTCTGGCCCCGGGAGACAGGAGGCTCTGGACTCCACAGTCCCTTCCCGCCTGGCCAAGCTGGGCGAGCTGCCTTCCTCCTCCGAAAACCACCACTTCCGTGGGTGTTTCCAAGTTTTGGTAACTTTATGGGTTCTGGAAACTCCTCTCTTTACTTGTCCCTTCAGACTTAGGGGTGGTGAGGGCCTGGCCCTATAGTTAGCTCTTGGGAACCTGGGGTACCACCCCACCCCACCCCAATCCTATACCTTTGCAAAGAGTCTCTTTAAACTCTTTCTAAATTTTTAAACAAATTTATTGATTTGAGAGAGAGACAGGAAAGGAGAGAGAGAGGGAGAGAGAGTTCCTGTTCTACCCGTCCACACATTAACTGCTTGATTCTTGTATGTGCCCCAGACCAGCAATTGAATCCACCACCTTGGTGTGTGGGGACAACACTCCCACCAACTGAGCACCTGGCCAGGGCTGTCCAGCTCTTTAACTACCCGCTGGGTACATCACCCGCTTCCTGCCTGGACCTGGAGGATGCGGGGAAAGCAGGTTATGAAAGAATGTGAACGACTCGATCTTTCTGGGCGAGGTATGTGATGCAAACACACATGCATTCCTGCGTGGTGAAGCGCAGGGGAGGGGCAGCGTATTCAGACATTAGTTTCCAAATATAAAAATCACCCTGTTTTTAATGTTAAAAAGGTATTTCTTTATAGGTGGAGGTCCCCCTATAATACTTGCAGGACTAATCTGGAGAATAAGAGCACATTAGCGGATGAGCTCAACTTTAATGGAAGCAGCGGTCTCTGTTCATAGGCGGAGGTGGCCCGCGTCAATCAGGAGGCCCCTTGCATGCTGGTGGGTGCTTGCCAATGTCCTGACTACACCCGCAAAACAATCCTCCCATGCACACAGAGCCACTCTTTAAAAAAAAATTTTAAAAAATATTTTTAATTGATTTCAGAGAGGGAGAGAGAGAGATAGAAACATCAATGATAAGAGAATCATGGATCAGCTGCCTCCTGCACCCCCCCACCGGGGATCGAGCCCGAAACCCGGGCATGTGCCCTTGACCGGAATTGAACTCAGGACCCTTCAGTCCGCAGGCTGACACACTGTCCACTGAGTCAAACCGGCCAGGGCCAGAGAGCCACTCTTACGCGGCAGGAAAGCGAGCCCTGCATGAGGAGACCGGAGACAATGTTTGTTCAACACGGCCCAGCCCGATGGGCCTGCTCCTGGGGCAGCGGGTTTCCTGCCCACGCGCTGTGCTCAGCGGGCGTGAGGAACGCAGTCAGCGGACGGGTGCTCGCTCCTGCGCGGGCCTCGCTGACTTTCCCACTTTAGAGCGAGTCACCCTTTCCGGGTGTGAAAGGCAGACGTGGTTCGTTCACTGATTACTCCTGCGCAGCCGGCAGTTAACTTGGCGCTCTCCCCTCTGACTCGAGGATCTGCCAAGTGCACAGGTAGAGTGGCCCCGGCCAAGACACCTGCGAGGGAGGTGGAAGGAAGGGCCCGGCTCAGCGTCATCGTCAGATCCAGGGGTGCGCCGCCCCTTTGTGAGGGGCCCTGACGTGTCCATTCCCATGTGTCTGCCACGGGGGCGGGGTTTCAGGGGCACAGTGACCTTTCTATTCTTGGACACTCTGAATCTTCATGATGTCCCGGACGAGGGTTGGTAACTGCTGTTAGTTTGTGTTGCAGATGAAGAAGCCGATGGTCAGAGAAGGGAAATGATTTTCTGAAGTTTGCAGGGTAGCAAAGTTGAGCTGAGCACGGGGCTCCTGCGACTTCTGATGAGGGCCCCTCCCTGTCCCACGGATCGTGTTCTCTCCCCAAGCTTTTTGCCCACGAGCCACAGTAGCTCCCTATGCACAGCACATACACGAGCGAACAAGCGAGACAGAAGCGCGGAGAAACGATGCCCTGATCGCGTACGACGCACCGGATTCTCTCAGCTCAAGAACGGAGTGCTGTTTATTCTCAGCCCATTAAGCTGCTGTCAGCAGGGCCCTGAGCACCGGTCCCTGCGCGGAGTCCCGGCCCCCACGCCGGCCACCTCTGAAGACAGCCGGGGCCACGCACTCAGATGACCCCAGAGAAAGCCTGATGCACCAGGATGGCCCTTCAGTCCCCATCGCCGCCTGGTAGCTCGCTAACCGGTCAGGCGAACACGGACGCCGCGCTAGCCCAGCCCCTGCCCGGTGGCTGGTGGGAGCAGCATCTTCACGCCCCGCCTCCGGAGGCAGGCGCTCCTTTCTCCCCGGCTCTCTGGGTAGGGATCCCGCAGCCTCCACAGCGGCACATGCAGGGGACGGAGCGGAGACGGAGGGATTGATGCTGGGGTCGATGGCATCGATGGGTCGATGCCGGCTGCGTGTTTTCCTCTTGGAAATAAATTGGGGGTAAGAGGTTGCATGGCAGTCCTCAGGGTTTTGCTTTGGGTTTTTGTTTGTGAATAGTGATTCCCAATGAAGCTACTGAGAACCACTTACAGGACCAATATATAAAGTAGCAGCCTCACACGGACATGGCCATCAAAAAATAACGTGAGCCCTGACCAGTGTGGCTCAGTGGATAGAGCATCGGCCTGCAGACTGAAGAGTCCCAGGTTTGATTCCGGTCAAGGGCATGTACCTTGGTTGCGGGCACATCCCCAGTAGGGTGTGTAGGAGGCGGGTGATCAATGTTTCTCTCTCATCGATGTTTCTAACTCTCTATCCCTCTCCCTTCCTCTCTGTAAAAAATCAATAAAATCTATTTTAAAAAAATAACGTGAAAAGGTATTCGAGATGTAGCAGCAGATCGCTTCATCCTACAAAGTGAAATCCTTTTGGAAAATTGTGAGTGGTCATGATAGTGTAAATACACACAAAGAGGATGGAAAGAATATGAGCTTTAGGTTCGGGCAGACCTGGGTTTGAGTGGTGGGCCTGGCCCTTCTATCCTCAGGACAGGGCAAGCTCAACGTTTAATCTCCCCGATCCTCAATTGCCTCATATCAAGTTGGGAGAATGATACCTACCAGCCCTGGCTGGTTGCTCAGTGGTTAACGTGTCGGCCCTTGCACCGAAGGGTCTTGGGTTCAATTCCCAGTCAAGGGCACGTACCTTGGTTGCAGGTTCCACAGCCGTGGCAGGGGCACATGCGGGAGGCAACCAACTGATGCGTCTTTCTCATATCAATGTTTCTCTCTCTCTCCTTCCATTCCACTCTCTCTAGAAATCAATGGAAAAAATATTCTCTGGTGAGAATTTAAAAAAAAAAAAAGGTACTTACCAGACAGGACAGCTGTGAAGATTAAATAAATGTGTAATCAATGCATTAAATCAATTTATTAGAGCTCTTTTTCAGGTTTAGTTTAGTAAACCAGTTTTTGGTCTGTAAGTACATACATGCGTTTATGTGTCAGCTTTCTTCTTCTTCTTTTTTTTTATCCTCACCCGAGGACATGCTTAGAGAGAGAAACATTGATGTGAGAGAGAAACAGCTATCAGTTGGCTTCCGAATGCTCCCCTATCGGGGATCAAGCCCCTACCCCAGGCATGTGCCCCGACTGGGAATGGAACCAGCAACCCTTCAGTGCACGGAGGAGCTCAGCCAACCTGGCCTGGCTGGGGCAGCTTTCCTGCATGTTTCACAGCCGGTTTTATGAAAATAAGACACAAAAATTCTCCCAATATGTTTTTGAAGCAGAAAATAGAAAAGGGAGTTTGTTTTTATTTTACAGGTGAAAAAATGTAGTCCCAGGAAGAGAGTGAGTGAGGCACCAACCCACGCCTGACATGCACTTTTGTAGCTTTCAAACCCTGGTCAACGCTGGGCACCTCTGTCCACGTGGCACCAGGTGGCAGAGGATGGGTGCCCACACTGGGTGGTTCTGCCCTGGTCAGGCCCTGGGTGTATCCTGGGCCCTCAAAAAAGGAGCGGGAGGAGAGGCTGACCTTTCTCTTCCTGGGGATGGGCTCGTCGAAGAGCAGGCTGCTGGCCTCGGCTTCATCGATGCCGTCGTCGGGTGCGGGGCTGCGGAAGGGCTTGGCGCAGTCGGTGGACAGCGGCGGCGACGGTGTGGACGGGTTGGACTGGTCGCTGGGGGCGCTCCAGCTCCAGTAGCCGCTGCTGCAGCTGCTGGACGGGGCACCGCCCTCCTTCCAGGATCCGCTCATGCCCTCTGCGAGCCAGACAACCAGGGTCAGTGCAGCAGGGTGCAGGGGCCGGGGTCACGGACTCGGGGGGCAGGGCCTGGACCCTACTAAGCACCTGCAGCCCCCCGCCCCCCAGAAATGTGCAACAGCTGGGGATGCACTACGCATACCTTGGGAAGAGAGGTGCATTACCCTTTATAAACACTGAGCTATTTTATCACATGACAGGCTTTCCTAACAGCTCTCTGATGTGGGTGGTTTTGGGATGACAGTGGAGGGGGTATGAAAACAAGAAAGAAAAAGATGCCCTTGTTCACTAAGTTTGGGGAGCTCTGAGTTTACTGGTGTTTCTAAGAGGGAAATCATTTGCAATATTGTCCCCCTCCCCCAACCCATTTTTCTCATAGGTCTGAGATCTTTGGAATAGGTTTGTGGAAAAAGTTAGTCCCAGATGTAAGAGTCTAAGAGAAATAACATTATAGGAAATAACAGTGCCTTGCATCTGTAAACGTTCAGTTAGAGGAATGAAGTTTTCCATCTCACAAAACTCATTCACACAGGCCCGTGCATCCTCACAACATCTGTCTCTCAGAGCAAGGACGGTCACGAGGGTTTTACAGGCGAGCACCTGAGGCACAGGAAGCCGTGACTCGCCACGGAGCCAGTAGTGGACCAGAGCCCAGACCCTGGTCTACCAGTTGGCTTCTTTCTCCTTCAGGGCATGGCCCCGTGTGGTAGGAATCCTCCTCTCTTTCCAACAAGCTGAGATCAGAGGAGAATTTATGGGCAATATTTACTGATAAGACGGCTGTTGAATTCTTCCTTTGCACTTGCAGGGAAACAGGAAACATTTGCTAATGTGAGAGATCTTTGTCCGGTTAGAACGCCGTGGGAGGCTCCTTATAGACTTGACCTTCTTGTTGGATAATTTCTCCTCCATGTTTATGTGCATTTTGAATACATTAAAACTATATTTTAAGTTCAAGGCGGGGGGGAGGAATCCCAAAATGTCTCATTATGCTGTAAACATTGGTGTAATTAGTAACGAAGTGAAGACACACAATGGGCCAGCATTCGTGGAAAAATGTCTTGACTACCTTCACCCAATCACAGATTTCCAGCATATTCCTCAACTGTGTCAAGCCAAACGTTCAGTTAGAGGAATGAAGTTTTAAGCTGAAATTGTGGAAGAAAGTTACCCATCTCACTAAAGCGAGGCTCTACCCCATCAAATGGTCATTTCTACAGGATCAAGCCTTTCTGGCACCAGCAAAACCAAGTTAGCATCTCCCTCCCTGCAGGCCACCGGACAGTGCTCACCGGCCCGAGAGCCTTTCGGAACGCGACAGCTGCATCCGCAGGTCCTTCGGAGGCCTCCGGGGCATGGCCCGGGGGCGGGGGGGGGGCACAGGCCTCGGCGGCTCAGGAGGCGTATGATACAGCACCGCGCGCACTCGTACAGTACGTGTGTGGTGCCAGCGGGGTGATCAGGGTGAGTGACTGCGCAGAGCGGAGGAGGTGATTGGGGCCTGAATTGATTTTGAAAAGCAACAATTTATTTTGAAAAGCAGTGTGTCGCACTGCCTCATGTCAATGCCCAAAGTTCAGTTGCTGACTTGGGAATGACATTTCCTTTAAGAAGCACTATTCAATGAGAAGGGCAATGTGATATAGAAATGAATTTTTCAGAAAAAGTCAGAACCAATTCGAGATACATAGATGGCCGTGTCTCCTTCCCTGACACACGTATTTGGTGAAACGCAGACAGGCCCTGCAGGAAGCTCACCCTCTTTGAAGACCCACTTCCTGACAAAATGATCCTTTCTAGGCACAAAAAGAATCACAACAGTTTTAAAAAATTCAATGATATACAATAATTCCAGACATATGTCTATTTTTTAAATTAACCAACACCTTCATTATCATTAAGTGCTTTCCCTTGTTAAGAATTTGCTGCCTGTTGCAGACCTAAGGAGCTAGCAGACAATTTGGGATTATAAATTGGGTAGTTATTTTTTGAAATCATAATGAACAGTGAATTCCTTTCCATATAACTATGCCAACAAAGGTTTGTGTTGCAGGAGCAAAAGGTTTATTTTGATTCTAACCTTTCAAGACAAAGGAGCATTAAAAATGTTCTCAATTAAAAGAGAATGCCATGGAAAAATACTGATTACGTTAAAATATACTCTTTCTTCTCTGAGGAGTCTCTGACATTCTGCAGTTCCTTCTTTTCTCTTTTCTTTTCTGTAAAACAATGAGAATCTACAATTTATTTGCATTTGGTGGCCCAGCTTGGGACAAATACTTGTCTGTAACCTTGAGGAATTTTTTTCTTTATGAACGCTTCAATCTTTCATGCAACTCCTTTCCCCTGGGATTGGTTTGGGGGTGTCTTCAGCTTTGCCTTCTCTGCAGTCTTCCTCAGGGGCCTCGCCACACTGAGCAGCGGGAGCCAGGAGGCAGTTAGAGGCCCGGCAGAGAGGGCAGTCCTTCAGCAGCAACGCCAGGCGCCCTCCCAGCACCTCCCCGCTCTGGGGGCTGCGGTGGCATCACCGCGTGCGGTGGTGGTGAGGGCAGGGGGCACTCCTGTGGACGGTATGGGTTTGACTTCCCGGCACCTCCATCATTCTTCGCACCGACAACTGGAGTGGAGTAGGTTTTGGTGAGGACTCACTGGATGTTCAACAGCTTTATTTTCACACCTGGCGCTTCCCTCCGACTTCTGTGTGGACCATACCTCAGCCTCCTAACTGGCCAGGCTGGCTTTCGAGAGAAGGGGTCCCCTTGCAGTAACTTCCCCTCCGGGGTCCCATCTTCATTTCATCCCACTCCCGCCCCCGGGTGGTCCACCGTGCGCTCTGGCCAGGAGTCAGTGCCTTTGTCTGGATGCAGAATCCAGCCTGTTTCATGCTTGAGCTTCTGAAGCATCAGACGTCTGTCCTTGAACATCGCTTTTCCCTCGGCTTCCAGGAACCCACATTCTCCCCTCTCCTGACCGCTGGTCCCCCTCAGGCTCTTCCCTCTGGGTCCCTGAAGTGAGGGCGGGCCTCACCCCACCCCACAATCCCCTTCCAGTCTTCGCTCCCCGCCTGCACATGACTCCCAGTGATCTCACTCCCCTCGTGGCTTCTGCGGCAGCCCAGACCACCCCAGCCGCTGCCCTTGAATGAGCCTCAGTGCTGCCCACGACACTCGCTTCTACCCGGCCTGCCGTCGTCTTCCGTGAACCCAGCTCAAACACTCACTGACAGACGTGCTCCTCCAACTACGTGTGGACCATCTCGGGGGCAGGCCTCCGTGCGGACGCCCCGACTGCCTGGAGGGCACCCCGGCACCCCCCCTCCTCCATCCTTTTTGTCCATCACCACGTCCTGTTGACTCCTCCTTCCTCACATTTCGTGGTTAAGGTCCTATCCGTCCCCTCTGGGACCACCAAGGTTCAGGACAGCCATAGGGTTTTTGTTGCTGTTTCTTTTTGTTTTTGTCTGCAAGCCCAGCCGTGACTGTCTGGTGCCGAAGCCACGTCGTAGCTCTGCTGCAGCCTCGGACTCAGTCCGTGCTCCTGGCCAGGCCTCCGTCACCGCCTGCGGCTCTCCTGATTTCTCACAGTGAGTTAGTGGGCCCACAGTAGCCATGACTAAGATGATGGACCCGGAGTTGGAGGATACAGGGGAGAATTTCAGCTTTGCCATTTACAAGTCAATTAATCCCATGTGCCTCCGTCCACTCATCTGTAAAATAGCGACAACGACAGCCACAGAGTTGTGAGAATGACGTGACAGAGCAAGCCTCGCACCTGGCAGGGAGCAAGGGCTCAGGAAGTGCTGCCATTGACGAGGCTGTGACAGAGCCTTTCCCCAAGAGACCGAGCTGCACGGGAATACGGGTGTTGTTTGCAGTGATGTACCCACACCATCTAGCACAGCACCTAGTAAGTGCATACTGAGTGAATAAACGGACTAAATCATTGTATTTGATTGCGGAGTCTGGGATAACGCCTTTGCAAAAGTCTTCAGAGTTATTCGACCTAACTACCTCTCCTGTGGAACAGAAACAATGCCGGGAAAGAGTTCCATTTACCTGGGAAAGGGACAGTCGCTGCGGGTAAGTGCCCTGGAAACGGGATGTGCGGGGAGCGGGTGGAGGGGGGACTGGCGTCTCTGGGAAGATGAGGAAGCTGGCCATGGGGTCTCCATTTCTCCCACGTAGCCCCTGTTCCTGCTCACGGCGAGGCTTAATCGTTCATTCCATTTGATAGGAATGAGACCCCTCAAAGGGGGGCTGTGCTCACGGTGCCCTTACGCCCATCCCCCCTCCTCCCCTCACCCCAGCTCACCATTCGGCCGCACAGGAGGGCTTCGAACCAAAGGGCTTGTGGACAGGCTGGTGAGTACCATCGCTGCTGTCACCTTGTCCATGTCCAGTTCCTCCGAGGATTTCCTGGAAAACAGGGAGGGCCCTGTTAGCGGAGCTCGCTCAGCATGGACTGGGGGCCCTGCCACCTACATCACAGACAGACGGGAGAGGCGGGAGGCGAGAGCCGCAGCGAGCACTCTGCGGGGGGACAGGACCGAGCAGCGATTCCTAGTGGCCGAGTGAAGACATTGCCATCACTGACCGAGACGGACACTGACCAAGACGGACGCTCACCGAGACGGACGCTCACCGAGACGGACACTCACTGAGACGGACACTCATTGAGACGGACACTCACCGAGACGGACACTCACCGAGACGGACACTCACCGAGACGGACACTCATTGAGACGGACACTCACCGAGACGGACACCCACCGCTCACCGAGACGGACACTCACCGAGACGGACACCCACCGCTCACCGAGACGGACACTCACCGAGACGGACACCCACCGCTCACCGAGACGGACACTCACCGAGACGGACACCCACCGCTCACCGAGACGGACACTCACCGAGACGGACACCCACCGCTCACCGAGACGGACACTCACCGAGACGGACACCCACCGCTCACCGAGACGGACACTCACCGAGACGGACACCCACCGCTCACCGAGACGGACACTCACCGAGACGGACACCCACCGCTCACCGAGACGGACACTCACCGAGACGGACACCCACCGCTCACCGAGACGGACACTCACCGAGACGGACACCCACCGCTCACCGAGACGGACACTCACCGAGACGGACACCCACCGCTCACCGAGACGGACACTCACCGAGACGGACACCCACCGCTCACCGAGACGGACACTCACCGAGACGGACACCCACCGCTCACCGAGACGGACACTCACCGAGACGGACACCCACCGCTCACCGAGACGGACACTCACCGAGACGGACACTCACCAAGACGGACACTCATTGAGACGGACACTGACCGAGACGGACACTGACCGAGACGATGCTCACCAAGACAGACACTCACTGAGACAGACACTCACCGAGACGGACAGGTCACTCTGGCTCGTAAATTTTGGCCAGTTAACCCCCCAAAAAAGGCTCATACGACAATGGCCATTGTGGACAGCAGTCAGCTTACTTGGGCTGATTTCCATAAAGAAGTTAATATCGAAAATGCATGCAGTACACCGACGTCAGATAAACTGTGCCACCTCCCGGCACGAGCACCCCCTGGGGGCAGTGGAGAAGAGGGTTCACACCCGTGTGAGCAAATGAGTGGTCACACTGACTAACACGGCTTTCGTCCCAGCCGCGCTGTCTGACTTTAAAAGCAGTGAAGTTGCAGAGAGAGAAAGTCAAATTGTTCCCAGTTCTGGGGGTGGGGCTGCTCAATTAGTTTCGCAACAAACTTATAAAAAGTTTACGCTTTGGCTCCCCAGCGTGCACCAGGATGCTGAAGTACAAAGCAAAGCCACTCGTCCAGTCCCAGGCGGGAGCTGGCAGTCTCTGTCTGTAGTTCTTCTCAAAGCACCTTGCTCTCTTTCTTGGAAAACTGTTCTATTCAAAGGCCAGTTCCTTTTTTCAGAGACTGGCAATGAGAGATGCTTCTAGAAGGCGCGTGTGCGAGCACACAGTGCGATGTGCTCTGCAGAGGTCTTCAGGACAACCTTGAACCGGGGAGAGCTGCTCCGTCCCATGGCACACCCTGAAAAGGCTACAGCACCCACAGTTCACAGGATCGCGGGCTTGGGGGCAAAGGCAAGGCCAGTTTCCCGCAGAAACTGAAGCAGCGCGAAGAGGACTTAAAGCACCTTCAGGTCATTGATGTTCACATCCTGCTCCCCGCTCCCGCCCCCCCCCCCGCCCCCGCCCATGGAGGCGAGTGGGGTGTCACAAGGGCCTCCCAGGAGAAAGGCTTGCTAGACACACTGTGCCCGCTGGCTGCCGCCAGAGCCCAGCCGTCACCATGGCTCCACACCGTGGTGGGGACCGGAGCAGGCCACTGTCATCTGTCCCAGACGGAATTACAGGAGCTGCCGGCTGCTTTTTCCAACTCCGTCCTCTGTTTTTAACAAAAGGTTTGAGAGCCAGGCTCAGAGGCCCAGGAGCTGGGCACTGGGAAATGGCAGGACGGCACGGAGAGAGGGTCCCCGGTTCCTACAGGGACACACTCCGCGGCCACACTTGTTTCTAGCCCTTGGTTTCAGGGGCCTCTATTTTCCCTCCTGTAATCTGCTTTGTATCTTTAAAATTTTTCACATCTAAGGTTTGTTTTAGAGGTCTAGTTGATAATTAACTTAAAAGGTGATCCATGTGTTGTTTTTAATATGAAGATCAATAGCGAAAGTGTCTCTATAAAATATGCATTTTTTTGCATCACCAAAGCCTGCCACGACCTTTCAACATAATGATCAGAAAGCAGATTCCCGATGAAGAGCAAAGAGCAAAACAAACGTCAGCATCACCGGAGAGTTTTGTGTTTGACCACCTTTACGTTTCCCGTGGGCCCGGGAGGTCACGAGGACACCTCCACGGCCCGCTGCTCGCCCCTCAGCGAGCCTGCGCGTCTCGGGGAGTGTGTATCACGCTGCCGGGAGCACGGTGACGGCCCTGTGCTGAGTGTTTTTGTTTTTTTACCCTTGTTTATTTCTTTGGTACAGTGCTATCTAATTACTGATTAATTGGTTCTGCAAATGCAAATCCTTGTAATTAAATGCAAAGAGATGATGCGCCACGTGGGGCTTGTTACACGTAGAGAAAGCTTTGCCGTCTGGTAGACAAAGGGCTGTTGGAGGAAAAGACCACTCATCCAGGTGATACTGAGAGTTTCCTCCCAGTGGGAAACGGATTTGAATCCACTGCTGAGGCTGCCCAACCCCACGTGCACAACAGGCTGAGAGCTTGTCCAAATAACCTTTCCTCCCAGGCCTGGCTGAGTATTACGGAACTTTAGAATTAGTTCTTAAAAACAGTCCCACGCCTTGTCATTCTGTGCGCGCTCTGTCGCTCAGCTGAGCGGGCTTTGACGGATGAGCAGGATTTCCAGATGCGAGAGTCACATTTCAGGCGAGGAAGCAGGCGAGTCCTTGGCTGGCAAACCGTGTGGGCATCCTGGTTGGAGGATGTGGTGGGAGAGAAGAGGCACGGAGCCTGGCTGGGTCTCGGGCCTCATGTGCCAGGCCGGGCGGATTTTCGTGTTCTCATAAGCAGAGAGAGCCACTGAACATACATGAACCCAGGAGAGAGGCAGCTCATCAACCTGGGTTTTAGAAACAGGCCAAAACGTCTACAGGCGTGCTCTGTAGCTAGTTTTAGTTAACTCTCAATTCAAACTCGAAGTGCTAGCCTAAGACCACTGCTCCTCTCTGCACAGGCAGTGTTCAGTCTGTGAGCACAGACCTCCCTCGGTGCGGCCAAGGATGGGTGGCTGGGAGAAGAGTGCAGGCTCCGCAATGAGTTACATCGTGGGGCTTCAAATCCGCTCTCTGCCAGGACTGGCTGTGTGGCTCTGGGGAAATTACTCAGCCTCTCTGAGTCTGTTTCTTCATTTGTGACAGGAGGAGATAGATCTGCTGAGACGATTCAATGAGAAAACATATGTGAGCACCAGCAGAGCCTCACCCACAGCCAGGGATCCGTGGACGTGAGCTCTTACCTTCACATTCACGGACCCGCCCATTACATGTGTCCCACACGCAGAGGGGCCTTGTCGGTGACTCTCCTCGCTCTTCCGACGGGGCACCCGCACTAGCAGGCATTGCTTTCCGTTTTGGGGGAGGGGCGCTGCCAGTGGTGTTGTTTTTCACAAAGAACCAAACTGTTCCAATTTCACAGGCCTTACCCAGTGAGAGGTGACAATCGGCACAGGAAGTGGCAGCTGCTGAGCCCTCCCTGGGCTCGCGGTGCCTGGGCCAGGATCCAGCGTGTGATGTGGTGGCCCTGGGGCACGGTCCACACGGCCAGAGCCCGGAGCGGGTCTAGGTTATGCCCCGAATTCCTGCTTTCAGCCCTCACTCTTGAGGACCAGCTCTGAGCCGGGGCGCTGCTGGACATTGCAGAGAGAGCCTCAGAGAAACCCCGTGGGTCTGGCCACCCTATCCCCCCGCCCCCCCACACACAACCGGAAACCCACACACGTCACAAAGCCAGGAGGTGGCATGGCCTTGGTGAGGACCTACGTAGGTCCCCAGCTAGGGGAGCCTGGAGGTGGGCGCTGGCCTTGCTGGGTGAGGCAGGGAGGGGCTGGGGCGGGCAGTGCCGGCGTGGCCAGACTGCCCTGAGAAGGTGCAGGATGCTCAGCTCGGTGTGCCGGGCCCCGGGACAGGGACAGGCCCGGGAGCACGGAGGTGTTTTGAGTGGACAGGCTTCGGAGAGGTCAGGTCAGGTTAGGGTGATGCTCTCAGATCTGCTTTTCAAAAAGCTCACTCTGGCTGCCGGGTGGAAAATGAGTTTCTTGGGTTTGACAACTGATCTTCTATCTGCCAAACTGACTGCCTGGTGACCGTGGCAGCGGGTGGAGGATGACGTCATCTGTGACAACGAGGTTCTCAGGAGCGGCGGTACCGGCAGGCACAGCATCGGCACGAGGCGGCACGGCCGCAGGCCCCGGTGTGCGGTGGCGCTGCAGGTCTGGCCCCCTCGGCTGTGGCCGGCGCTGACAAGGCTGTTGTTTCTGTCACAAGAAGCTTTTTCTTCTATGAGCCACTTCATGCCTGACTGCCACCTGCTGGGAGCACGTGTACACACACTGTCCCCCTAACCCACCAGCCAAGAGAGAAGTGCTCACCCCCCAGAGCCGTGAGAGACAGCTCCCTGCGGGGAAAGTGCTGCAGTAGCAGATGGAATGAAAGGAAGAGCACCCTCCGTGCTCAGCTCTAATCCCGTTCCTTAGCAACTCCTGGAATCGGCGGTCTAGACCAAGTTCAATCACTTTGAGGACGCACAGTGACCCCAAAACAAGCAAAAGGCCTGGCCGTGAATTCTCTTCCCTGGAAAGTCTCGGAATCTGGGGACGGCTCTCGCTAAGAGTCGGCACACTGACCGGG